AACTGGCCAAACCACTCTTATAATCATAGAAAAAATGGCCGGACTACATAAATATCCAAAGCTCAGACCTTTGAAACATACCACTATATACAGTATAAGTTGAAGCTAAACTTACACCTGCTCATAGTTACTACCTCTTTCGGCGAGAAGTTTGTGTTGTGAAACCAATTGAAGATAAAGAACTGTATATTCAATTTAGATCATTGTTTAGCCCAGCAAGTGAAATAAAAGCTATGTATAAAAAAGATTTATTATCTGTCGAGTAGTTTTTTTTTTTTTTTTTTTTTAATACGATAACTCGTTTTCTTCCCAAGCAGACAAAGGTGCAAACAAGCTAAATAATCCAGAAGACACTTGCTAAGAGGTGAATAGAAATTATTCTAGCGGAAACAGCTAATAGTGTTGGTATAGTGGTCACAGAAAGAGACCCATAAGTACATAGACAATTAGGGTAATAGTCTTTTCTCAGGCTCCATTCCCTGCTTAAAGAACTGTCAGACGAGGCAATGGAAGAGTGAGCTCATACTCAACACCACATATTAAGCTTTCTGTACCTGCTTCTAGCACAGCCCATTATCAGATAGAGGAAAAAGCAATGGCTTTGGAGGATGGTTAGCACCTCTGCATCTGGGGAATATAAATATTTGATGGGGAGATCCCAGTGGTGCATGTATATGAACTCTTCTATAATATGAAACCTTCAGAGACTTCTTGTCACCACAGGGTTGGTTTATCTTGATCACCACTGACATTACTTTTACAACAGCTAAATACTGTTTTGTTTTTGTTTTTTTACAAGTACTATCCAATTATAGCTGAATAGTACAGAAACACCTACAGTATAAAAGATGTAATTATTATTTTTTTTAATTAAACTATACAGCCCTATTTTTAACATGCCAGAAAAGCAATGATACATACACAGAAACACAGTTTGTAAGAGGGGCGACTCTAGAATCTGACATTTAGGGTTGCTTAGCCCCCAGTGCTGACGGCTCTTGGCTTGAACAATGCGGTGGCCATTTGTGTCAGAAGCATTTGTAATGTACGTGTGTGGGGGGAGCACACTTGATTCAATAACTATTTTAGAGTTAATGGCACAACAAGTAGCCTGACCAACAGCTCTCCTTGTGTGAATAGAAAACACTCCGCTTCTCTCACGCATCCTAAACCCCCACCACCGTTAGACAACTGTATTGCCGCTGCAGCTCACAATACAGATATTACAATATAAATCACAATACAGGCACGCTAGCTAAGATGCTACAGATGTAGCGCTGCACTTCTCTCACGCATGCCCCCACTTCCCACAGCGCCTGCAGGTAAGGGGCATTTCACCTCAGGACAAAGTGAGGTTGCTGATTGGTCAGTTGCTGACGAGCCTACTAGATTGACAGGTGGCATTGAGGATCCGACTCGTGCAAAAAATAAATAAATTTAAAAAAAAAATCAGATTTTACTGGTTATTAAGTGTAATTTATTCCAGATTTATTTCAAATTCATTAAATATTTTGGTGAATCTAAGGTTTAAGAACTGTTTCCTTATAAAATTGTAATGATGGTTTCTTAATTTTTCAGGGGTGCCGAGTTAAAATTTAGGGGTGCTTGAGCACCCACAAAGAGAGGCTAAAATCGCCAATGGTTTGTTAAATAGTATGTTAAAATTGAGGCAACTGAGTGTCGCAAATACAGATGTTTAAATAAGATCAAGATGCTTAACCCCCCTTACTGACATTCCCTAAATCATCATCAAACTATAAAATTAAATTTCAGTGTTTCCCCTACTAGTATACAAGTGGGGCGCCCCGCCACTTCAACAGAAGCGAGCGCCCCGTCTACCAAACCGCACGTACCCCCCCCCAACCACCCCCCCACCCACCTGTCGACACTGATGTAACACTAAGCTAGCAGCTCGCAAAAGGTAGCCTCTGACCCCCCCAACCCACTGGTACAAACAGCGCATGGCTCAGATGTGCCTCTGTACAAGGTAGAGTTTGAAGTAGTGAAAGATCCTCACAACCTCTACATACATTATGTGTGCATAAGAGAAAAATATGAAATATAAAGGTTCATAAAAATAATTATAAAGGCATTCTTTAAAAATAAATTGCTGCAGATGCTGCACTTTAACTGCTATTTACAGTTACAACAAGTAGCACCTAATTGTGTCATGTTATCTTTTAAATGTTCTGGCTGCAAAGCTTCCTCCTGCCCGTCTCTCACAAGGCTGCAGGTAGTCACGCCCTGTTTTCAACGTATTTATTATAATTGTGTAAATCAAGTTTTATACAGAACTAAAAGTCTTGTGTTGAAAATGTACTTGGGTTCTAGCTTTCAACACAGTATCACAAGTCAGAGTTTGGTCTATTTCTTTGTTCTTGTGAGAACGTTGAACTGGAAACCTTAATAAATATTTTATGGATTTGTTATGACTTTATGGACAACACAGCTAGGGTTACTTCGTGGACACAAGTCATTTGTGTTCATTAAGAGTTCCATTGAAGTTATTTCTTGAGTCCTTCGTCTTAAACATGAATAACTCAGTGTTTCCCCTACCGTTATTCAAGAAGTGTGCCCCGCCCTGTCAACATGCCCCGCCTACCAAATCCCCCACCCACAATTCTGCTCCGCCACTTCTGGATGAGGAGTGGAGATTGTAGCAGCTCAGTTCAGACTTAAAACTGTGCACATCCATAACCCCCACCCCCGTCGACAACTGTGGCACTAACGTAGCGCTAAGCTAACCAAGCCCCATGCGCAATTCAGACGTAGTGCTCTGCTTCGACAAAAAAACAGAAGAGACGAGCGCCCTCCCAAGAAAATCACCTAGGGAAAACACGGACTCCGTTTTAAAAAGAGTAAGCGGTTGATTGTTTTTTTATTTTCTTATTGAGCTTTCACTTTTTTTAGCAACAAGTACAAATGTTTTTATAGCCATGAATCTTCATACTTCAGATAAAACAATGGCACACTCCCACAAGCGTCTCATCATACACAGACAGCTAAACATCACTGCTATATTTGTACTAAGGGCCTGTGCATTTGATTATCTTTTACCCATAAAATCCAGTAAGACAAAAATTTATAAATGAAGGTACAAATGATAACGGCTATTATTGTTGCCCCTTAGCAAAAAGGTTGCCAGTTCTGGGCCTTTCTGGGTGGAGCTTGCAGCATGTCCTCTCCGTGCATGCATGGGATTTCTCCAGTTTCCTCCCACAGACCAAAATCATGCATATTAGGCTGATTGGTAACTCTAAATTGTCCCTAGGTGAGTGAGAGAGTGAATGGCTGTTTGTCTCTATGTGGCCCTGTGATGGACTGGAGATCTGTTCAGGGTGTCCCCCGCCTCTCATACAGTGATAGCTGGACATGGGCACGAGTGACCCGTGACCCGAAAAGGAAGAAGCTGGTGAGGGAGGGATGGATGGATGGTTTTCACAACAAAGAGTTTGTAACAGAGCCGCCCAGTTTCTGAAAACTACAGTTTCACAGCATTCAAGATCCACTCTAAATTTACATTATTAGTTTCAATCAATTGTAGCTGGCTATATTGGCAGGCTTTGGTGCCTACATCATGTTCTTGAACTTTTTTCCCCACACATTTGCCAATTGTTACTTAGGTTTCACAAATGATTACAACATAGATTGCTATCTATAACACATCTGAATGACAATACAAATTGTTAGACGCCCTTCAAAACTAACTTATCTTAACTAATGGCTAACATTTAATTACATTTAGTTTTACTTATGTCTTCATTATTGGAAGGTGGTGTGGAGTTAAAAAATATAAAAAGAAAAAGAACATGTGCCCCACTTCCTAGGCTTGACTGCAGCTTTCTGATCCTAAACACACTGGGTCTCAAGAGAAATAGATCAAAAGAAAAAGAAATTAACATGATCAAAACTCAAATTAATCTAAGATGATCAACGATCTCTTCGCTGAACGACTGAGATACCAGAGTAAATCTGAACTCCACCAAGCAGCAGGAAGGGCATCACCGTGACTGCTTCCTCCACCATTTCTTCATTTCAACATTTTATCACATGCACACAGGCAAGTGACATGACAAATGCTTCAGCTTCTTCTGTCTGCCAAGCTCATTTAAAGATCAATCAATGGTGCCGCGAGCCTAATTGTTGACCGCTGTCAGTCTCTCACACTAGGTCCAAAATTGCCAGCCTTCTCTACGCATTTTAAAAATAAAAGCCTTCTTTCCCATTATTACTGTATTTAAACATTAGCTCACTCCTTTGTTTCGTCTCCTCTGCATTCACATCTGCAAATGCTGATATTTTAATAGCTTGTGTGGGGTGTGGCTTATAGCTGCACTCTTGCATATAGCCGTTAACAGAGGGGGATGGGAGCCAGATTAAGATATCTATACATCAGAAGTACTTGCCTAAACGAACTAGGCAGTACAGTCTCACATGTAAATGTGGTCTTTGTTTGCTCCCCTCGTGGCTATGTTGATGACTGAGCCTGATTTATTGTTATGGCATGCAGTAAATGCTGAACTTTGAGCTTCCATCTATGCAACAACAGGAAGAAAACGTATGTTAGTGAAAGTGACCCTGGAAAAATTAACCAGTGCACAAGCAGCGTCAACCAGTAAAACAAACTGCTGGTACCCTACTAAGGTTTGATTATGTTGATGATATTTCTTATTTTCATTATACTATGTTTATAATGCATACCATGTCCAAACGTTCTACTGTTTGTTTTACCAATGAACAAGCAATGCAATTAAAGAAAAGACAAATGTTACAAATAGTAATTCATTAGTACAAACTGAAATATTTGCAGTGGTTTCTCTAACAAAAGGCAACAGAGTGGCAGAGAGTCAACAAGCAGCAAAATTTCACATGTTCATTCAAGCTCATGAACTGCTGCAGCGATTCAGGTATGCACTGAATTAACACAAATAAGATCAAAGCTCTACTTAGTGGATTTGTTCTCTTTCTAACGTCATTGAAGATCAAAAATATCTACATACCCAATCTTGGACTTTTGCTTAGACTTTGAAGAGGGCACAATGCAGGCCTTCCTAGAGGCCTTGTCTTTGGACCGGGCCTTGCCGTTTCCTTTATGATGGGCCTTATACTGAGCCGAAGAGCCGGGAAAACACTCTGGACTCATGACTCGTGGGATGTTCTTCTCTCCTCTCTGCCGGGCCTTAGCAATAGCTTCTGATATAATCCTATTAGCCTTTTCCTGCTTCTCTTGCAGAACTGGCTCCATCTGATGATGCTTCCTCCGTCGTGCCTTCTTCTCTGATGAGGAGCTGGGTGAGGATGAAGACGAAGATGAAGAGGAGGAGGATGATGAACTCTTCAGCGTTGGACTGAGGACCCGTACCTGGCTACCAGGACCATTGGCATTCTTTCGAGGCTAAGAATGGAGAAAAAATATGATTACGATGCTTGTTCCAAAAAGCATTTTATAAATACAATGGTTATAGCCATATTTTTAAAAGCCAAGTTACACAAAGACTTTTTAAAGGGAAAGTCTAACAGACATAAAACGGATAAAACCATATTTGACCCAAAATAACTCATAAACCAGGCATTGAATAAACTAAGTGAGTTGAACAGATACATGTTATGTGCTTGAATTATATTCAAGCACATAAAAGCACCTGCTACTGAGCATGTTCAATTTGCCTTTAGTCACAAAGTTAAACACTAAATTCATTCAAACAGTTATTTATTTAAAGCCACGTTAATAACAAGAGTAGTGCAGAACAACTGGTTGTTGTAAGATAAGTGATGACGTAAGAGAAGAAGCATACATTATTTAAATATGTCAAGAGCATGATTCTATTTAAGTCAAACAGAACTTGCAGCTGATGACTCCATTGATCTATTTTCATGTTTTATGAAAGGAACAAAACTTGAGATGGAAAATGTTCTGTACAAATGGCTAAGTGTAATAAGAGATTATGGTATAAAAGATGATGTTAGAAAATAAGAGCTGAAATATAACTCTCAGAACATGACACAGTTGTCTACATTGCAATGTGACCAAGGAAAGTATTGCTCACTCATTCAGAAAACCTTCTGAAGGCTGTCGAGGTAGGAGAGCATGCTACTCTTTTCTCTGATGCTGTGGGTGGGGGGTGGGGGGGGGGGGGTCCATCATCCCCCCTGCTTCTCCACCACCGCACACAAAGTTGTCTGATGGGGGGAATTCAGGCTGGTGTTTTAAACCAAGACTTACTTTAGAATCAGGTGGGCGCCATGTGACATAAGAAGTGGGACACAAAATTAATTGTTTTGAGTTGTGTACCGAAGGCAAAGTAGAAACACTTGCCTCTTGTAGCAGGTTACACTGTGCCTTGCAAACATAAATAATCCAGCTTGCTTGATACATGATAATATGTGAATAATAGATAATGGGACTGCTGCTGTGCTCACACAAGTCTTGTTGTGGGCCTTGAGCCCAATATAAAGAAAACTCCAAAAATGGATGACCTAATCTAAAAATGTTTTGCGTATGTCTTCATGGCTCAGGCTCGACTGGCTGCATGTTTTCCCTCTCATAATGCTAACAAATGTAAGTACTTGAGTCTTACTAGCAAAGTGAATGTGTCGAGGTGTACCTGAATAACTACAGATTATTTAGAAAAAAAGTGTGTGTGTGTGTGTGTGGGGGGGGGGGGGGCACTAATACAAGAGCTGCATTATGATGTTCACGTGTGCTATGCTGCTGCTGAGGCCATTAGGAAAATAATTTACTGGATCGTGCTGGAATGTGTCTATTCAAGTTATTATGAAAAAAAGAGGGAAGAGTTGAAAGTAATGTTTAAGAGCAGAAGACCAAGAAGGAGGGAGCAAGAAGCAATAATAATAAAACAACAAATCTGAAAGCAGGCTTCTATCAGGGAGGCTATAGAGAGAGAGAGAGCGAGAGAGAGAAAAGATGAAATGCACCAAAACGAAGAGCACTGCAGCTGTGTAATACATCTATAAATAACTGAAATTACAGCCTGCCAGTACTGCAGTGATTTCAATCTCTCTAGCAGCACGCAGTCCCGGGAAAATCGGTTGGAACCATCACAGACGATGAAAAGCTAGAGTAAGCTCCATTTTGGGTTGGACACCTTTCCCCTCGCTCCCACCCCTCAATTCCACATGTAGTGAGCTCTCTGGTGACTAACGGGCTCAACTCATGGAGGACAAACAAACACGCACACGCACCGTACGGTGTACAGGAACTACAGAGCCGGACAGCTCTGATCAGAAAAAATAAAATAAAAAATGATATGGCGGGCTTGGGAGGCCAGTGGGGATGGAGAAATTAAATAAATATTTTTAGTGTGTCTCAGTGAGTTCTCATACAAAAGAGAAAATTAATATGAAGGATAGAGGGGGGGGAAAGCAGCAATGAGTTCAAGATGGCGGCAGTGCAGCATGAGCCAGTAGCAGAGGAGGTTGTTCAGTTCCTGCCGGCCCCTCCTCCTCCCCCTCATCCCTCCTCCCTCCCAGCTCTGAGAGTAGCTCACTTACCCTTCCTCTTGGCCTCTTCACTGTAGACATGGTGTGTTTTTTTCCTTCCTCTTTACTCTCCCTCTCCAACCGGCTTAAAAAAAAAAAAGCCTTGCCCTTTCACTGTGTTCTTATTTTCTTCTTTCTGTTGCTCACTCACTGTTTCTCTTACACTCTTTTCCTTTCTACAGTCGGTTTCTCCCACTCTTCCTTGAGCTGTGGTGTCCCCCCCTCCCCTCCTCCTTCCCGGTCAACTCTTCTCCTCGGGCGAGAACGAGAGTGTTGGAACTGTTTCGTCGTCGCCTCCTCCCCCAGCGGGCAGGGCTCAAGGGGAGCGCATGGGAGCCTCTCGCTCTCTCTTCCTCCCTTGTTCGTCTCGTCACAGGGCGATGAGGGAGCAGCGCTGTTGGCGGTAGAGGAGGTGCGTGGCAGTCCAGGAAGCTCTCATTGTGCCGTTGCGTGCCGCTTCGTTGTCGTCCGGCTTCGACCTTACTCTCTCTCTGCGCGCGTGTGTGTCGGAGTCGCCTTACCCTGCCTCCTCTCTCCTCCCCCCTTCATTGATTCCTCTTTCCTCCTGCCTCTCGTGTGGGCTCTCAGTGCGTCTCTCAGTCTTAATTCTTCTTTATTGCGCTTTCCGCTTCGTCGCCTCTTTCTGCGCTTCTCCTTGTCCTTTACCAGCAGCCAGATTAAGGTAGTTTACTCCTATTATCACAACAAAACATAACCTTTGTTTGATAATCTAACTTGTTTGGTTGATTGCCTTTTCTCCCCACTTATCTTTTTCCTGGTTGTAGCTTGCTGTGCTCTCCTCTGCCCAGCCGGGGTGAGTGTGGCGAGCTCGAGACTCTGGCAGCGTGAGCGGCGGAAAATGAAAGCACAAAGCAGCAAAAATGCATCAGCATGAATATTAGAGATGTCGTTAAAACCCAGACTCGTTTTTGCTCTCGCTCTCTCACTCACCCCCGCTCTCTCTCTCTTTGTAAGGAAGTAGGCCAGCAGATGGTGCTAGCAGTTATTACATTAACTTTCACAACTTAACCCCCAAAGTACTGGTTTTCTCCCACGCTACAGATTGGCAGATTCTGAGCTTTTGAAGTCTTCGTACTGGCTGCTGCCTCTGATGTGCTAATTGATTCAAAGATCCCCCCCCAAAAGAACTCAATGAACACAAAAAGAAGCAAACTCCCAAAAGAAAAAAGTACAAAACAATGCACACGTCAAGATTTTATGACACACTGCAGAATATGGCAGTCTCCCATCGTAACCATTCTGGACACTTCAACTGCAACTGTAGGTTATAGATGGGTCACACTACTCTGAGGGGGAGAAAACACACGAGAGGGAGCTGGGACTTGTCCAAGACACGTTGTGAGCCAGATAAAATCTTGAAGAACAAGAATGCCTTTCAGGGAACTCTGACACTGTGATGCAGGGGCCATGTGCACCAGCTGGCACATGGTACTGGGATTTTTTTTTGTAATGCACAGCTGGCCTGAAGCCAGATAGGCAGGACTACCAGATCAGTTACTAATAGATACTGGATGAGCATTACTTTCCTCTCTGTTTACTGTGCAGAAATTTGCTGAATGCGCACTTCTCCCAAAAAACATTCTGCATCCCCCCCATTTGCTCAGTTTTTCCAAATACAAGAGACAACACTGCTCTGATGTCAGCTTATACACACATTTAAATACTTTAGTGCAAATGTATTTATTGCATTGCTTGTAAAAAATAAATTAGGATCCACAGGTCAAAACATCAGCTCACTTTCATTTACAGCACACTGCTGCAAGCAAGTCAATGTGACTGCAGGTTACTAAAGATATTCATAAATGCAATGCATCACATTACAAGTCAACGTCAAATTTGGAAAAATGTCAAATTTCATTCTAGTGCTTTTATGAACAGTCTGTTCGACCAACACTAAACAAGTATGCTTCATTTAATAAAACCTACTTGAATAAGGTTCAGTTCTCATCTTAGTATCACTGTTAAACTTAAGTTTATTTAAATAGTGTGAAATATGTGGGTGATATATGCATGTTACAACACAATATGCCTTTACAGTGCTTCCTTTAAAGCAATCTAGAATGTGGGGAATGCATCTATCTACAATTATTCTTCAGACGAGGATCGTGGACTCAGTACCCATCTGTGGTTTGTTGTTTTACATCTACCATCTTTATATCCCCTGCAGAGACAGATAGCTTCCTGGTGTGCAGGAAGCAATGACTGTTTGTGCTAAACGTGAGCAGTGGCAGCAGAAGGCTTTGAATCAACCTGCCCAACACAGGCCTGGAGTTTGGACTTTAAAGCAGACCGCATGCTTGCCGAGAGCCGAGCAGCAGCTTCCTACAAGCTAAACAAATCCATTGTCAGATAGTGCCCACCAGTTTACAGAACCTTGGGATGAGTCGATGACACATGCAAGCATACATGCACGAAGAAATGAGTTCAAGAAATAAAATCTTTCAAATAACACAAAAAGTCTCAATGATTTCTTTGAAAACCTTAATGTACCAAAAAAAAAAACACCGATTTGAATGTTGCACATAAAGCAGCCTATATGAACAAATTGAACATTTTTCTCCTGAAGTCTGATAAACACGACTAAAATTACTGACTCACTGCTTCACTGACAACAATTAGCAAGAGGGGACAGACCTTTGCAAACCCTAAATAACCTCCATGGTAAGAAACAATATTTGCTGCTACTATAATCTAAAAATATACATTCAAAAGAAAAGTTGTTTTTGCCATAAAACGTAACGTTCAAGAACATACAAGATGCACAACGCCACAACCCTATGGCAACTAGACAGTTAATATGCAAACAAGTCTGGCAGCTCTGTACGAGAGGGAGTGGCTTCCATTTAGGACACATGAAGAAGAGAAGGGAGGGGAGAAGAGGAAGGGGAGGGGAAAGAGTGCTGCTGAAAGGAAGTGGAATGGAAAAAAAATGTATGTGCATGAGAGGCAGGGTGGCTGGAGAGACACAGGTGTCTGTCTCTGAACACCATTACTTACTCATCAAAGCCTTTTGTACTAGTGAGTAGCTGCTTTGATTTTTAGTCTGTTCAGGGTAAAACTGTCCACTAACCAACCATTATGGAAATGAGGGCAGAAAGGCAGAAATTCACCGACTGAACGGTCAAGGTGTCAAGTACCTAACTAGTGCTTCAAAGAATATAGTCACAAAATGAAATCCTTATCCAGGAATAGACTGTAAGGTTACCCAATGTTAATGACAATGTGGTTAACTAAACTGAATAACCAAACTGGATGCTTGAAAAATTACAAACTCCAACCAGACTGCACATTTGATCTGACAAAACAAATAAGAAATTGGAAAAAAAAAAAAATACACATACAGTGCCTTGCGAAAGTATTTGCCCCCCTTGAACTTTTCAACCTTTTGCCACATTTCAGGCATCAAACAAAGACATAAAATTTTATTTTTTTGTGAACAATCAACAACAAGTGGGACACAATCATGAAGTGGAATGAAATTTATTGGATGCATCAAACTTTTTTGACAAATAAACTGAAAAGTGGGGCGTGCAATATTATTCGACTCTTTTAGGTCGTTTTCACACCAGACAGTCCGGTAGACTCGGTTCGGGACCAATATTCATGACCTTTTGTTTACATTTGAGCTGGTGCGTTTGCATTCACACTGCACTGTGCAGTCGAGTCAACCTGTTGAACCAACCTATTCCCTGCTCGCCTGTGGGGGCGCTGCACCAAGAACTACTGAAAGAAACGACACAAAACCTCTGAAGACAATTCTTCTTCTTCTTCTTCTGTAAATAAAAGTAAAAACGAAGTGGCATCAAGTTTTAGCAGTTTTAGGAGTTATATTTTGTCATTTTTCAAAAATGGACTCAGCAAGAGCAGAAGATGAGACAGAAGACCATGGAGAATATTGTTTTTCACACAAGGCAGCTGACAGTTCCATATAAGGTCAAAGCAATGCGTGTTTGTTTGTCCTGTGGAGCGGGGTCTGGTCTGTTTACATTCACACTGTACTCGAACCGCGCTGCGGTTCTCTTCTACCGGACCGAGACCTAGATTTTAGCCCGGGCCAGAGTTCGCCTTTTTGTTCCGTGACCGAGTTCGATAGCGTGTTCATACCTCCCTAAACGAACCGGATTTTCTAGGAAAACGAGCTAGAGTTCGATTAAAACGGACTAAACAGGGCTGGTGTAAATGCACCCTTACTTTCAGTTGAGCAAACTCACTCCAGAAGTTCAGCGAGGATCTATGAATGATCCAATGTTGTCCCAAATGACTGATGATGATAAATAGAATCCACCTGTGTGTAATCAAGTCTCCGTATAAATGTACCCGCTCTGCGATAGTCTCAGAGTTCTGTTCAAAGCGCAGAGAGCATCAAGAAGACCAAGGAACACACCAGGCAGGTCTGAGATACTGTTGTGGAGAAGTTTAAAGCCGGATTTGGATAGAAAAAGATTCCCCAAGCTTTAAATATTGCAAGGAGCACTGTGCAAGCAATCATATTGAAATAGAAGGAGTATCAGACCACTGCAAATCTACCAAGACACGGCCGTCCCTCTAAACTTTCATCTGGAACAAGGAGAAGACTGATCAGAGATGCAGCCAAGAGGCCCATGATCATTCTGGATGAACTGCAGAGATCTACAGCTGAGGTGGGAGAGTCTGCCCATTGGACAACAATCAGTCGTACACTGCACAAATCTGGCCTTTATGGAAGAGTGGCAAGAAGAAAGCCATTTCTCAAAGATATCCATAAAAAGTGTTGTTTAAAGTTTGCCACAAGCACCTGGGAGACACACCAAACATGTGGAAGAAGGTGCTCTGGTAAGATGAAACCAAAATCGAACTGTTTGGCCAAAATGCAAAAAGATATGTTTGGCGTAAAAGCAACACAGCTCATCACCCTGAACACACCATCCCCACTGTCAAACATGGTGGTGGCAGCATGGTTTGGGCCTGCTTTTCATCAGCAGGGACAGGGAAGATGGTCAGAATTGATGGGAAGATGGATGGGGCCAAATACAGGACCATTCTGGAAGAATACCTGTTTGAGTCTGCAAGAGACCTGAGACTGGGACGGAGATTTATCTTCCAACAAGACAATGATCTAAAACATAAAGCCAAATCTACAATGGAATGGTTCACAAATAAACGTATCCAGGTGTTGGAATGGCCAAGTGAAAGTCCAGATCTGAATCCAATCGAGAATCTGTGGATAGAGCTGAAGACTGCTGTTCACAAACGCTCTTCATCCAACCTCACTGAGCTCGAGCGGTTTTGCAAGGAAGAATGGGCAAGAATTTCAGTCTCTCGATGTGCAAAACTGATAGAGACATACCCCAAGAGAATTACAGCTGTAACAGCAGCAAAAGGCGGCGCTACAAAGTATTAACGCAAGGGGGACGAATAATATTGCACGCCCCACTTTTCAGTTTATTTGTTAAAAAATCTTGACATATCAAATAAATTTCATTC